CTCATTCAGAAAGAATGAAAACAAATTATGCATATACTAATAGAACCATAAAAATGACTTCTAACCAATCAATCATAACTTATAACTTAAACGTAAGGTACATTAACACCATTACCATTATAACATTTTATCGAATAGTTGGGAGGCACAACTTAAGTTCGCAATCAAAAAATAACCAAAAGACATAACTTGAACTTAATATCTATTTCAATAGGCATAACTTAAGTTCACAATAAGAAAATAACTGGAAGACATAACTTGAACTCAATATCTATTTCAACAAATAGCTTGCAAGTTCAGAATACACTTTCATTACAATAATGATTTTTACTAATCTTATATAAACCATAACCTATAATCCTAAAATCGTAAGAAAATGATTTTAAGAAAAAATCCTTTATCAAGGTTTGGAAAAAAATCATTCTATATGATTCAACTATCCAATGAACTTGAGAAAGGAAGACGGAGAGAATCTCATATTATTGACTCGTCCATACAAACATAATTAGACTCATCCCCAAAATCGTTGATGACCTGCCATTAGATTAGGGATAGAATCGCACCTAGATTAGAGTAGAATCGCACCTAGATTAGAGTAGAATCGCACAATTCTCATTTTAGTTAGAAATATTGGATCGATGAAGAAGAGATACAAGACAAAAGAGTGAGACGGAAACAAACTTAGAGTTGAATCTGAAGAAAAACGATGCTTTTTCAGTGGAAGAGGGCTTGTTCACAGTTGATTCTGGCTTCTCAACGGAAGAGGGATGTTCGAGGATGATTCTGGCTTCTCAACGGAAGAGGGCTTCATCATGGATTATTCTGCCTTCTCAAACGGATAACTTAGACTCGACAATGAAGGTTTGTTATTAATTAATAAACTGGTGAGAGGGCATTAAAAACATCGGCGGCCAGATTTGTGAAGATCGGACACTCCCTATTACTTCTCACTTTTCAGCCTTAGAAGGCTTCCCACCAGATCTATTCCCTACACACACACACACACACATATATATATATATATATATAAACGGAAATATGGGGGGAGGGAATTCGGGCGGCATTTTGCATTCAAAATTCAAATTGTGTGCTGCTATAAAGTTTGGCCGGGATATGAGGAGTCCTTTCGAAAAATGGGCGGTATTAAATGGTGTGTCATTTGATCTTCACGAAGATGTTTCACACGTGTTTCCTACTCCGTTTTCTTTGTAGCTAATTTTTCAGTTCTCACTTTCTCAGCTTCTCCCCACATTTCTCCCTGTTCCCTTCTTGATTTCCCCGTTCTCTTCTTCGAATTTTTGAAATCACCTCACGCCTCCGCTCGAAGCCATCGAGGCCACACACCTTATGCCTCCGTAGCTCCTCTTCACCGGTACACTCACCTTATTCCATTCATATGAAAGCTACTTCTCTTCTTCAGCCGCACGCCCAAATCATCGAAAAAAATTACTTCTGCCGCACCTTCCTAACGGGAATTTTTTACATCCTACGTAGGTACTAAATATTTAGTTAGTTTTACTATTCCTAACCGATTCATGCATATTTTACTCCGGGAATTGTATATTCACTAATTTGTGATGAAGCTTGAAGAATTTTATTTTCTACGATTTTAGTATACTAATGTCTATCAACTGTTTGTAAGAATGTCTCAATGAAAATTTGAAAAGAATGTTTACATAAAGTGATGCTACCAACACATTTTTTAGAAGTTTCATCTCTTAACTTATGCATTGTTACTTTTGTATCTTCACTCTCAGGACTCGCGCTCGGTCGGAGGCGGTTTGAATGTAGGTAGGGGCGGCGGAGGTTTTGGCCGGAGGAGGCGGAGGTGTAGACCAGAGGCTGTGTGTATGGAGGTAGGGGTTGGGGGCAAAAGATGAGGTGGAGGCCGGATTAGGTGGGTATGAATTGAAGGCCAGTCCGGCAACGAAGGTGATGGCTATGAAGGTAGGGGCACTGGAGGTCGATCTAGTTTGAGGTGGCGGAGATCAGTCTAGTTGGATGTGGCGGAGGCGGTAAAAATGGTGGAATCGGAAGAATGGTGGGAGGTGATTGAAATTGAAAAAACAGACCACCTCACAAGCTTGGGGAAGAAAGTGCATGCGTGGATAGGAGATGAGCGGACTCGAAAAGAAAGAAAAAAGAGAAGAGAAAAAAGAAAAGAGAGGAAAAAAAGAAAAAGAAAACAAAAGAAAATTATAAAAAATACGAAAACAGTAAAAAAATTGTGATGTGGAACATCCACGTAAACGTATAACCGGGTAACAGGTTGTTTACCTGTTAAATGGTTGATTTGGTCGTTTTTTATTACTTCACGGACTTGATTGACTCGACAATTCAAGAAGTACATGGACTTCATTGATTTTTTGTCAAAAGTAGATGGACTTATTTAACAGTTTTTCCTATAATATATTAATATTATATATTTATATTAATATATATATATATATATAATATTACTATACACTATAAATTAATATACAACATATATTAGTATATAATATATATAATATAAATTAATATATAATACTGATTGGTAAATGTATTATGTATATGAGGACCGGGGAGATATAATTAATTATAAAGTAATTTGACAAAAATAATCAAATTTTCATGCACTGTTTCTTCATGGTTTGACCACTTTTAATTTATATTAGAAGTGCAAAAGAGTGGAGACTTGAATTTAGGATTATATTTTGTTTGTTTTCCATTCCCGTAACTCTAATTTTAGTTAAATCATCGATTAAACGAATGTGTAACTTACACAAGTATAAAATTATTATGATTTAAAGTAGATATATATTTCAAACAAATGCCAATAAAGTCTCAGAACAGGTCATTATTGTTTTTTTTCAGTGTGCTTGTATGGATTAAATAAGTTCTGAGTATGTCAAGTCTAAATTTAAAATGACTTGATGTGACTTCTCAAACTTTATCCTCATATAAAATAGATTGACAATCACAAAAAGTTTTACATTGCTCTTATATTCTTATGCACTTTTCATTTAATCTTTTTTTCTCTATCATTAAAAATAAGTAACACAAAATATAATTAATAATTAATGATCCGCTAACACAATTAATCATCACCAAATGTTATTCAATAATTATGAAACATCTCCAAAATCTTTTGGTCTTTTGAGAAATAAACATAAAGAAAAATGTTAGCTTAGAGTGCAGGTTGTAGCCTGTAGCTAACTTGGAAACATTTGATATGATAAAAAGTGCAAGTTCTTAGTTGGCGTTTAGAGGATAAGATTTTTCTCGGAAAATTAGTTTAAAGTTTAAACTATAGTTTGTTGTATTCAACCACTATTAAATCGTACTTCCTCATTCTTTTTTAGTTGCAAAACTTTCACTTTTGTATTTGTCAATACACATCTTTGGCCATTAATATATTTAAGTTCGTAATTGTAAAATTTTAAAAGAAAAATCACATTTTGAAAATTTACAATGGGAATAATTTAATTAATTTTTTTTCAAAATTAAAATTTTAATTCATTTATAAATAAAATGTATTCAAAGTAGAACACGTGAATAGTGTAAAAGTTATAATGTTATAGGGAGTAACTATTTAAGACCGTACGTAGTATTTATCCTAATAATAAAGCAAGCTTTCCTAAAAATAGTCTGTAATAAAATGATTAGACTGATAAAGATAATAGTAAGAATACTAGTAATAAAAATAATAATTGTAAGTCTTTGACATGATATTACTAAAATAAAATAAAATTGGAAGAGAAGTGTGTTCACCTCGTCCCTAGCTCACTATCATCACACTCACCATATATAATACAGAGTAAAAAATTGTAATAAACCTATAATTTTATTTGTAATTAATTTTTTAATTACGTACGTGATAGTAAGCATTATAAAAAGTTAATATTTCAGAAAATCATATCAATAAGAATTTGATAACATTTTATACGTAATAATATATTTATGTATCAGAGAACGGATGAAGTACACTCGTCTACCCTCGTCTATTATCTATTACGAATTGAAATAAAAAGATCACGTAAGTTAAATAGGGTTGTATACGAACCGAATCGAGTCGAATAATGAGATTTTGTATTTGTATTTGTTTAATTTTTTCGAATATGAATTCGAATTCAAATATGAAATGAATATTAATTTTGATTTGTATTTGTATTTGTTTAACAATACGAATAATTAACGAATCATATACGAATATCGAATCGATTTGAGTATAAGTTAAATATTAGTCAAATATCACTCTAAAAAAACTTTTCTTATACTCCGTGTTTTTTATGTTGTAAATGCTTGCTATGACTTATTGTGTGTTTTTAGAATTTAAGTTTTATGGATCAATGCATTTTTAGATGGTACACAATATACTAAAGTGAATTAATTTTATGATTAATAAATATAAATCTATTTCAAACTTTTTGAAATATACACTAACACACACATATTAGAAATTATATATACTTATAATGTGTGAAATAAGTTGATAATTATATATATATCAAAGTCAAATAACTCCAATTTTATTCTTCAAATCGAATACATAATTATTTGTATTGTATTTGAAAGACATTTGAACCAAAAAATTGATTTGTATTCGTATTTATATTCTGATTTATTACAAATGTGTTTGGAATCTGTATGCAAAAGTGTATATATGGGTGGGTTACACTTTGAGGGTATTGATATCTTTTAAAAGTTATTATAGTGTTATTACTATTATTATTAATAATAATATTGACATTAATATTATCATTATTATTAATCGAATATATTTGATTAATATTCGAATCGAATACACTGATATTCTTATTTGTATTTGATAACGACTCGAATCAAATTTAATATTCTTTTTTATATTTATATTTGAATTTTCCGAATTTTCTTATACGAATTCGAATCGCGAATCCAATACAAATTAAACCCTACCGTAACTACCATTTTGGTTTATTTTAATCATAATATTTTAATAATAACGATAAGAACAGTAATAATATTGAGGGACCTAGTCACCTAGACCACCACCCCTTCTGTCCGAAATTTAAATCAATGGTTTTTGAGTATTTATCGCTCTCCTCGCACTCTTCACCGGATTTAGATTTGGTTCTTTTCTCTCTTGTGTGAACTACATATCCACCATTGTTTCTGTATAGTGCTTATCTATCGCTTTTTTGTATAGTGCGTGATCCTTTTTTTCTTGTATAGTCCCTGTTATTCTATTGCTGTATCTGTGGTTCATTTGTCTAATTCCGGCTGATTTGACCATTAAGATTTCAGTAAATCTATCATCTTTGCTTTAAATAAGCAAGCATCATAAGCTCTTAGCTGATTTTCCCCATTGAAAAGATCGAGTCTTTACCCTGTACATGTGTCAATTCTATAACTTTATCACGACTTCGCCGTCTTTAAGATCTGGGTCTCCGGAAATCTTTTAGAAAGCCGGGGGAGATGAAGTGGAATTATGGGTCGTCGAAGTGTAGGAGTCGCCGGCACAGCTCGGTGGTGGCGGCGGAGGAGACAGCGGCGGTGATGATGAGGCGGAGCAGCTGGGCTGACATGCCGATAGAGCTGCTGAGAGAGGTGTTGATGAAGGTGGAGGAGTCAGAGAGTAAGTGGCCTTTGAGGAAGAGTGTGGTGGCTTGTGCAGGAGTCTGTAGGAGCTGGAGGGAGATCATGAAGGAGGTTGCCCATACCCCTGAAGCTTCTGGGAGGATCACTTTCCCTATTGCAGTCAAGCAGGTCTGGTCTGCGTTGCCTTCTACAGTATAATCTTGTTTCAATCAATTCATTCTATACTTTTCTCATCTTTCTTCTTTCATGTCCTTGCTGGATTTGGATTGTTTTCTTGAATTTAGATTTTCTTGTCAGAATTTTGTTTCTATGATGCTGTTTTAGTAGAGGCACCGTGTTTTATTCATCTTTGATTGGGATAAGATGGTTACTTTTTGTATTATTTTTAATTTATGAGTCTGCTGCACCAGTTTTGTGGATTAATGGCGCGTTTGGGAGCACTGTAATTTTGCAAAATAAGTGATGTTGTGGAATTTTTAGGTGCATATACTTATTCTAACTTCCCGTCCATCAACTACCTCCATTTATTTGTCTTGAAATTTTTTAGTTGTAATAGTACTTGTATGAGTCATTTTCAATAGTAGAAGTAATGAAACTTTCTGTTAGACAAAATATTAATTATTGGCATGTTAGGTATTCTAATGCGTTTTCTTATAGACAAAATTAGGTATTAGTGTATTACATAGGTACAACATATTTTGCTTCTTTAAATATCTAATATTGGATGAGTTCATTGCCTTTTTTCTTGTTGTCTTGCTAAAGAAGTGTGTGGATATAATGTGCAGCCTGGTCCGAGAGACAATCTGATGCAATGTTTTTTAAAGAGGTGCAGTTCTTCTCAGACATTTCGCCTTTACCTCAATTTGACTCAAGGTAGGCAAGCCGTATGCCCGTATGTAACTTGGAGTTTTTCTCTAGTTTCTTTTATTCAATCAAGATTTACATAATTAATGATATGATTACACATTTCAAACATGTATCATGCATGTTTCATTTAATCTGATTTATTTGGCAGCTTTGACTGATGATGGGAAGTTTCTGCTCGCTGCCCGCAAGTATAGGCGGACCACATGCTCAGACTATATTATATCTCTCCATCCCAGTGATATGTCTAAGGCAAATGGCAACTATGTGGGAAAAGTGAGGTGGGTTATGCAATTACATCGAGACTAGTTTTTACTTTTTAGAGATAGAGCCCAACAATTTTAGACTAACTTTTTGAGCTTAAATATTTCCAAGAACTCCAGCATCATTTGTAAATCACTAAATTCGTAAGAGATAATAAGAGTATAAGTCTCAACCTCAAAATCTAAGCAATAATAAGGTTTGGGAATCTATCTCTCATAATAAATTATTCCTTCTATTAGGTTAGTCTTTATAGAATTGAATCTCAAATCTCGATATCGCATTGAGATACATTGGTTCCAAGATTGGTTTGTTTCAGCAAGCCACCATTTGTAAGGCATGTTACACCTTCATTTGTTAACTAAATACTACGTATAAAGTTGGACTTAGACTATTCCATGTACACTTTTAAAACGGAACCTCAGGCTTTTAATACTCCGTAATACATAGAATACTTGAGAGCTAAGAAGAACAAATCTATCTTTTTTCGTATAGGTCAAATTTTCTGGGAAACAAGTTTACAGTATATGATGCTTCACCGCCACTTAAGGGAGCTAAGATGGTGAAAAGTCACAATACTTTTCCTGAAGCCTTGAAACAACTCAACTCGAGAGTGCCAGTAGGGAACTATGAAGTAGCTCACATTTCATATGAGATGAATGGGCTTGGGAACAGGTACTATTATTTTGTATTGTTTATGGCTGGTTAAACAACTGTACAGATCCTCTAGTAATTCGAATATATACTTTTAATAGTAGACACCATGACACCCTTTAAAAATTTAATTTGAATATATACTTTTAAAAATAAATTTAAGAAAATGACAGCCTCTCTAGAAGGCATATTAGGGCGGTTTAACAATATGACAAGTTTGTATTATCGATGCAGGTTTAATTTTTTCCTACACAGTTGTTCCCCTATAAAACTCTGCAACATATTCCCAATAAAATTTTTAAAGGACATATTAGGGAGAGAAGATTATTTCAAATTCTTTTATTATTCCTTTGTCTCTGTGAAAGCAAAATCATGCCTTATAATAAGGACTAGAGGGAGTATTTAAAATGAAGGCTAAAATGTCATCTACTTCTGTTTCAGCAAAAAAATAACTTCGAGTCTTTACTAGTCAATCAAATTATGTAGTGTTTGCCATTGCTTTGAAAAGCACTTTTGTTCCTTTTACGTAGCAAATGCTAAAAGTAATTTTCTCAAATAGGTGTTAATGCTAAACTGTCTGCGCTTCTTTGTTATGGAGCAACAGTTAGTCCATGCAATTTTGGACGCGATTTTCACTATGGGTCATCCGGAAATAGTCTCTCTGTGCTCTAGTACAGGGGTAAGACCGCGTACATCCAACCCCCCCTTACCCCACCGTAGGTGCCTTTGCGGCACTGGGGTAAATGAAAATGAAATGAAAGGTGTTAATACTAAACATGAAGCACTTTAAAGCTAAAAGCCATAATCAGGGAGCATGGTTCTTAAAAAGATGCTTCACCTTTCTCTAAAATTTTACCCGAATAACACATTACCCAACTTTCCAACTTCTAATTTTTCAAAAACATTTTTAGTTTCAAACGCTACCGAGTTTTACAGTTCAACACTTTCTCTATAATCCCCAAAATTAATCACTTCTCACCGTCAAAGGCAAACACTACCTTATTGTTTGGTAGAAAAACCAGACCATTAGACGGACACTATGGCCCTCTTCATAATGGTTATTTGACTAACACATGCTTATTTTGAAAGGAAAATGCATTTGATTACGTCTATTTTAGCTGAATAAGTATGCAAAAACTCTAAAGCCTTATACTTATAAGCAGAATAAGCCAATTATGGCTACCAAAGATGCGTACAGATGATCAACTTTTTCTCTTACCCAAACCAGGGGTCCTAGGAAAATGCAGTGCGTTATGGATACTATCCCAGCATCTTCAATTAAACCGGGAGGTGTTGCCCCCACACAGACTCATTTTCCAATCGGCAGCAGCGATACCTTTCCAACAATACCCTTTTTCAGATCAAAATCCACATTAAGAGCATCTGAGAGTTGTCCGTCAGGTGGATCTCTAGTTCTGAAAAACAAAGCTCCCAGATGGCACGAACAACTACAATGCTGGTGTTTGAACTTTCATGGACGGGTGACGGTCGCTTCAGTCAAGAACTTTCAGTTGGTAGCTTCTCCAGAGAATGGGGCGGCGGGACCTGAATGTGAAAAGGTCGTTCTACAGTTCGGGAAGGTAGCGAAGGACGTTTTCACCATGGATTTCCGTTACCCGTTATCTGCATTTCTTGCATTTGCCATCTCTCTTAGCAACTTTGACTCGAAGTTGGCTTGCGACTAAAACGTGAATGGCAAGGTGTGGTTCTACCTACCTCCTTTTTTTAATGTTCATATAACTTTAAGAAATGTTAAGGGCCTGTTTGATAAGGGTTATTTATTTGGTTGAAATGAAATGGCTGGATTGTTGAATGTTATGAACGCAAAAGCATATTGTGATATCTATATATGCCAAGAAGTAAGTCTAAGGCTACCCCTTTTAGTTCTGCACTTCTGCTGGTAAGCAGAATAAGCCAAGTATTCGCCAAACGAGACCTAAATGTTATTTATTTGACAATTACTTCGTATTTCCTACACTTTTAGACTTCTGTTTTTATTTAGAGCATGTTTGTCAGGGTTTTGCAGCTGAAAAGGATGGATTTACGAGAATATTCTGAAAAGAAAAATGTTTTAAAAAGCCCGTTTCAAAACTTTTGGTTCTCATCTAAAAAATCCACTAGTTGTGGCTCAACCCTCTTTTTGTCTTCTGTTCGGGTTTTTGAGGTTTGATCCTCAGTCTGAAGGACTTGAAACTATCTCTACTTGACGGCCTTGACCCAATGTTTCCTTTACTGTGAATGTGATAAAATTCGAAATTTTCAAACAAAAAGTAAACAACTAAAAATGAAATTAGATCATATTCAAAGTTCAAACCACTGAAATTTAGGTGATGGGAGACAAACTTTCCAACAATTCCAGTGATTTTATTTCTTTCAGATAATTAAAACAGAAAAAAAACATCCTGTTGGAACCTTGCCATTTCAATGCCGTGAAAGCGACCGCGATCAATAAAATTGCTAAGCAGGAGGGATTGCACAAATGGAGAATGCTGGAAATAAGATGGCAAAGCTCGAGTGTGTGCTTCACAGTTTTACTTTGGTAATTTGTCTATTGTATTCCCTATCAATCTTGTTCACAGTAGACTAGTCAGTATTTGAGAGAAAAATGGATCTTTATAAAATAGGATAAATTGTCTTAGCTCATAAATCATCTTGCTGTAAATTCTTGACTAACTGCTCATTTAAACTTCCATCTTTGTTCTGGCAATGTTGGTCTCAATCAATGTATCTTCTTCCTTCATAGACAACCCTTTTTGTGTTCATTTTCTACTTCCACTATATGTCAATTTCCCTATCCTGGTTTTGAATGCGGTTTTGTTGTCTATAATGTGTAACATCAACTATCAACTATCTCAATAAACAAATAAATTAATAAAATCTATGTCTCAATAATTAGTCGAAATTACAAATAATAATAAAACAAAACAAAATGCATGTCCTTAATAGGTATTATTTGATTTTAGACGTTACGCGTTAAGTCCACTATAATTAAACATTAAGTTGGTGCTCGTGATGATGATGACAACTATGATGATAAGGGTAGCATCAGCGTTTTGTGGAAGAGAATATGCTTAAAAATGCTAGCTGGAATGGAAAGGCAAGGCAAGACTTTGCTTCATTTCTTGTCAATGTCGTCCCGGTGTTAGCTGGTCTGCGCTGCCCCTATACGATAGGGCCAAATTGGTGGGTCTAACAAATTGGTGGCTTTTATTTTTTTATATACAATCCAGTCAGTTTCGCCTATACTAGCTTCAAAGTGTGAATCTAGCAATACTTGCATCACCTGGCACTTTTCTCCCAATCTGCTACCTCCATTACTATATTCTCCTTTCTCGGCCGTTGAGATACTCCGTGAAGATAAGGAGAATTATGGGGAAGTGGGAAACAAGACATCAATCATTTATGGTTTCGGGTAGGGATGGACTCGGGCCGGGTGGCCCGACCCGGAACCGGCCCGGGACCGGTACTGTTCCGGCCCAGCCCGACCCGGTGGCCCGGTCAGTGACCGGTCCGGGTAGGCCCGGCCCGTGGGTTTTCCGGTCCGGGCTCGGGTCACCCAAAACAAGGCCCGACCCGCCCGGGCCCGGTTCGGGCCAAAAAAAAATTTTTTTTTCAATTTTTTTTAACTTTTCGGGTTGGGCTGGGTATTTTGGGCCATTTGGGGTGGTTTGGGGGGTTGGGGGTGGGAGGGGGGTTAATTAGGAAGAGGAAAAAAAAAAAATATAATGGACCTGGCCCGGCCCGGACCCGGACCGGACCCGGTGGTTACCCGGGCCGGTCCCGGGTCCACCATTTCTGACCCGCCGGCCCGCCCGGGCCTAGGCCCGACCCGGACCCGGCCCAGACCCGAGTCCAACCCTGGTTTCGGGTCTTAGGGCGCTAATCTCATCCAAGTTCACTCGGCACTTGATATGCCGAGCTTCTTAGGAGGGATCCTCGCCGAAATCCGCGAGCTCCCACCGGTAGACTATCGACACGTGTGGAATGCTCGTTAGATTTCGATCATTTTAATGCTTCTAAGAAAAACCAACAATGGAAGAGTGTAATTGTTAAGTTCATTCTACTGAATTCTCTCTAAGCTTTTACGTTATTTTCAACTTCTCTATATTTACCAGAAGTATTAAGATAAGCTATCACACGAGAAATTTACAAGCAGTCATGCGTTAAGCACACATAGAAATTTCAATAGTCTCAAACATTTGGTTTTCACCGCATTCACAGCAATGTTTTCATAGTTCTAAGGGAGAAATTTGATTTAGTATTTCTATCCCTTTCCATTTTTAATAACCTGTCAATACCCTCTAACAACTTTCAATTAACAACGCTAAAGTCCTACATGGAGTCGAATACACCTATCACATAAGAGAATGATAATGCGAGAGAAAAATATCAAAGAATGAGTAGAACGCCACATGTACCATTAAAATAGGTGTAGGCTTGGACTCGGGCCGCCGGGTTCCGTACCCATAGGCCCGAGACCGGCCCGGGTCTTGACTGGTTCCGGGCCGGTTCCGGTTCATTTTTTTTGTGATTCTTATTTATTTCACCCCCACCCCCCATGGCCCCATCCCCCCCAACCCCCCAAACCCCTCGGAAATACCCAGCCCAGCCCAACTAACCCCAGCCCAAACCAAAAAAAAGGCCCGAACCGGGCCGGTTCCCCTTTTCCCTTACCCGTGCCCGGAACCGGTAGACCCCCCGGGCCTAGGCCCGAACCGGAACCGGGCCCGATTTCCCGGGCCGGGCCGGTCCCGCGCAGTAGCAGGCCGGGCTGGTTCCCGGGCCGGGTGGCCCGCACCAAGTCCAAGTCTGGATAGGTGTACCTATTCAATGTATTTTACATCTTTTAATCCAACTTTGAACCATTTCTTATGCTTAAATCACCCATGGAATCGACAATCAATTATCAATAATGTAGATAAATTTTGTTTCTGCTTTATACTTTATCCGTTATTGAGATATCTAACTTTACCAAAATGAAATACTTCAGAGTTGATTGCTTCTAATATTAGGAGCGAAGTGATTTTGTTGTTGTTGTTTCCTATTTTAGTTAGTTTTCACCTAACTTTCCAAAACATATGTCTGGTGATTATATCACAAAACATCTTTTTTAACGCGATATTTTTAATATACTTATGCCGACAAGTCCAGTGAAATTAGAATATACACAACGATGTATTTGCCTCCTCGTTCTCAACATGAACTATGATTGAATCATCACAATAGTAGAACAATAAGAGTACTAAATTCCCAAAATTAAATAGATCAAGCAAAACAAGTCCAAGAACTTCCTAGCCTAGCTATCGACTTATTCGATGGTGTCACGCCAAAAGAACATTGTCATTCACCACTATTAAGGGAGTGTTTGTGTTTACCTGTACTTTTGAGGCGTGGTTTTTTAAGAGTATTACGTAGTGTTAAAAAAGTACTTCCTCCGTTCCTTAAAACTTTGTCACTTTCCCTTTTAATCAATTATTTTGTGATTTCTGTTATTTCTCTCTCCTCTGCACAAATTCAACCACAGTTTTTACTTTATTATTCTCCGTGCCGATCAACTTTGACAAAGTTTCAAGGGAGGTAGTATTTTATAGTGAAAGTTGGTAGTATTTGAAAATAGAAGAGATTGTAATTAAAATGTAAAAGTTGGAGTGTTTGGTAAAAAGGTGAAACATAATGTAAGATGTTAAAATACAAAAATATCCTCAAATTATTAAAGAGATAACCGTGAGATTTTTATATGGAGTAATGCCTCATTGTTGGGAAGGGTATCTTGGGGGTTAATGAGATTTGTTTACCTAATAACTATCCTAAAAGTTTGAACTATTAACCAAAATACCAAGAAGCATTTAAAAGCATCCCATACGAATATACGATGCTTTAAACTTCAAGCTTAAAAGGGCTTATATTTAAGCAAATGATTGTCCATGCAAACGCCAATTTTGAGTTTTTTTCTAAAGAAAAAAAGCATAAAGCACTTTTCAATAGAGTTTGCAAACACTGACAAATTCTCCAACTTTAAGGAATTTGAGCTTTAACACGCTTTTTAGGTAAAAGGGTTTTTTTAATTTAATGATCAAAAGTCCTTAACAAGTAAATTAGGTCTCAGTCAATTATAAAAAGTCTTATCAGCAAATACCTGAAAACCCTAATAAACATACACATTTGTTCAAACAATTGAAGAAGTAAACGAACTAAATGGATTGGTAGAAAAACTACCGTTCTTTTATTTATCAAAGCTAACTACTAACCTCTCCCTAATAAGCAAAACAACAATTAGTAGATATAAGCTCATAATAATAATCTCAAAATAGCTAGAAAAGCATAATTCTCGAACTAGCAAGCAAAGCAAGATTCCTTAAAGAGCATAACATACGGTCACATTAAAGTTACTTGCCACGATTGACTGATTTAAAAATGTCAATACTTTAATCATATTTAGATAAAAACATCACATTCCTATTTAGAAAAACCACATTTTTATTCTTATTTTGAGAATTTTTCCTAAAACAACGGTATTAATAGTAATAATAATAACAACAATAATAATACTAATCCATATGTCAAACACCTACCTACTGAAATAATCACCTACCATTGAAGGAACTTTAAATCAAATGTCTTTTCTCGAAATTCATTTAGGAAATATGAAGATAGCAAGCCAAAAGTCTATGCAGATTAGACCATATATACAAAAAAACCTTGCTTACATTTCCCTCGCATTTCTTGCATTATACTCTAGAAAACCTAGAAACTTGCTATCATTTTTTCACTATACGGAAAATCACCTCATTTGAATTGCCCTAATCCCCCCCCCCCCCCCCCCCCCCCCAATCACAAACATGATCAGCTACTCACTCACAATTGGAGCCTAGAAAACTCAGAATTTGCTGCTGAAATACTGTTAGATGTCTCTTCCGTCCGTCTAGCCACACTTTTGGAAGATGATGCCACCTGGTTGTGGGGTGGGGCCCTTTGAGCCGGAGCAGCTGAGCATACTGGTACAACTGATCGGATTTGAACAGCTGGAGCCATGGCCCTTCCACAAGGCAGCCTGCTCCTTTCGAGCCACGGCCTACTTGGTCGTGAAGAACAAAAACTACCAGTTCTTTGGCCTCTAAACATGGGACTTCTGTTACTATGAGAAGTTTCAGGGTAAAGGAGAGTAGGACCTCTAGTTGTTGAATGTTGGTGACTAGACCTCCAAGAGCAGGGTGGCGTGGGCCGGTCAACCTTGATTGCTCCAGTGTTGTTTCTTAAGAAGCCAGGAGGGACCCAACTGAGATCTTCACGGTTAAAAGTTTGCCTCTGAGAACTTGCATTATTGGTATGCCACTCATCTTCAACCTGGCTGTTCTCTTCTATCTCTTCTATCCTAACCCGACTAGTACAAGTGGGAACCATATCACCAGCAGCCATGTACAAAAATGGACCACTTTGCATCAATGGGTCGCTTGGGAAGGTATATGGGCCAAATATGGATTGTACAAAAGGGAAAAACTGAGGGCCAGGGATAGAAAGTGGGGTTGTAGGAGGAGAAGTCAGGAGGTAGCTTCTTGGGAGTGTCATTCCATGATGCCAGTTTTGATAGGAGGCGGCCACTTCTGGTGAAAGAGGAAAATATGTGTAGGGGATCACATCATTTCTAACAGCGGGAGGCTTTAATGGAGGTTTCCTTCTTTCTGGTAATTTAAATTTGGAAAGGTAGCGGGCGACAGATATTTGCTCCTGCTCCTCGTTTCCCCCATCATCTGAGGAAGTGCAGCCAGAAGAAGAATCTTGCACTGATACTACACATGAACATATGGAATAACA